GCCTCCACTTGTTTGTGTTTTTTACAGTTTTTTTTTCTTGTAGTTGATTTCTAATCTCATAGCCTTGTGGTCAGAAAAGATGCTTGATATGATTTCAGTTTTCTTAAATATTGAGGCTTGCTTAATGGCCCAGCATGTCATCTATCCTGGAGAATGTTCCATATGCACTTGAGAAGAATGTGTATTTTGCTGCTTTCAGATGGAATAGTCTATAAATATCAATTAAGTCCATCTGGTCTAATGTCATTATGGCCTGTGTTTCCTTATTTTTTTCTGTCTGGATGATCTGTCCATTGATGAAAGTGGGGTGTTAAAGTCCCCCACTATTATTGTGTTACTGTCAATTTCTCTGTTTATGGCTGTTAGTATTTGCTTTATATACTGAGGTGCTGTGCTCCTATAATGGGTGTGTATAACTATTTACAATAGTTATATCTTCTTCTTGGATTGATCTCTGATCATTATGTCGTGTCCTTCTTTGTCTCTTATAACAGTCTTTATTTTAAAGTCTATTTTGTCTGATATGAGTATTGCTATTCCAGCTTTCTTTTGATTTACATTTGCGTGGAATACCTTCTTCCATCCTCTCACTTTCAGTCTGTATTTGTCCCTAGGTCTGAAGTGGGCCTCTTGTAGACAGCATATATATGGGTCTTGTTTTTGTATCCATTCAACAGTCGGTGTCTTTTGGTTGGAGCATTTAATCTACTTACATTTAAGGCAGTTACCAATATGTATTTTTTTTGTGTGTTTTTTTTGGCCATGCTTTGCAACATGTGGGATCTTAGTTCCCTGAATAGGGATCGAGCCCATGCCCCCTGCACTGGAAGTGCAGAGTCTTGACCACTGGACTGCCAGGGAAGTCCCCCAGTATGTATGTTCTTATTTCTATTTTGTTAATTGTTTTGGGATTGTTTTCATAGGTCTTTTTTCTTCTCTTCCTCTTTTGTTGATTTCTCTTGTGATTTGATGACTGTCTTTAGTGTTGTGTTTGGATTACTTTTTCTTCTTTGTGTGTATATCTATTGTTGATTTTTGGTTTGCAGCTACCATGAGGTTTTGATATAGCAGTCTATATATATACAGGATTGTGTTAAGTTGCTGGTCTGTTAATTTCAAATGCATTTTCAATAGCCTGCATTTATTTGTACTGTCCTCTTCTCATGATTGCTGCTTTTGATATATTTGTGTGTGGATGATTTCCTATATTTACTGTATGTTTGCCTTTACCAGTGAGCTTTCCCATTTGTAATTTTCTTGTTTCTAGTTGTGGGCTTTTCTTTTCTACCTAGAGAAGTTCCTTTAGCCTTTGTTGTAAAACTGGTTTGGTGGTGCTGAATTCTCTTAGCTTTTGCTTGTCTGTAAAGCTTTTGATTTCTCTGTCGAATGTGAATGAGAGCATTGCTGATTAGAGTATTCTTCCTTGTAGGTTTTTCCCTTTCATCACTTTAAATATATCATGACACTCCCTTCTGGGCTGCAGAGTTTCTGCTGAAAAATCAGCTGATAGCCTTATGAGGATTCCCTTGTATGTTATTTGTTGCTTTCCCCTTGTTGTTTTTAATATTTTCTATTTGTCTTTAATTTTTGTCAGTATGATTAATATGTGTCTCGGCAGGTTCCTCCTTGGGTTTATCCTGTATGGGACTCTCTGTGCTTCCTGGACTTGGGTGACTGTTTCCTTTCCCATGTTAGGGAAGTTTTTGGCTATTATCTTTTCAAATATTTTCTCAGGTCCTTTCTCTTTCTTCTGTCCTTCTGGGACCCTTATAATGTGAATGTTGGTGTGTTTAATGTTGTCCCAGAGGTCTTGTAGACTGTCCTCATTTCTTTTCATTCTTTATTCTGTTCTGTGGCAATGATTTCCACTATTCTGTCTTCCATCTCACTTATACATTCCTCTGCCTCATTAATTCTGCTATTGATTCCTTCTAGTGTATTTTTCCTTTCAGTTATTTTATTGTTCATCTGTTCTTTAAATTTTCTAGCTCTTTGTTAAACATTTCTTGTGTCTTCTTGGTCTGTGCTTCCATTCTTTTTCTGAGATCTTGGATCATCTTTAATTACTCTGAGTTCTTTTTTGGGTAGATTGCCTATCTCCACTTCACTTAGTTGTTCTGAGGTTTTATCTGGAACATATTCCTCTGCTGTCTCATTTTGTCTAACTTTATGTGTTTGCTCTCCTATAGTCTGCAGAATTATAGTTCCTCTTGCTCCTGGTGTCTGCCCCCTGGTAGATGAGGTTGGTCTAAGAGCCTTGTACAGGCTTCCTGTTGGGAGGGACTCATGCCTGCCCACTGGTGGGTGGAGCTGGGTCTTGTCCCTCTGGTGGGTAGGGCCATGTCAAAGGGTGTGTTTATAGGCAGCTGTGGGCTCAGGAAGACTTTAAGCAGCCTTAAAGTCTGCTGAAGGGTGGGGCTGCATTCCTACCCTGTTGGTTGTTTGGCCTGAGGCATCCCAACATTATGGGTAGCCTTTGGGCTGTTGGGTAGGGCCAGGCCTTGGCACCAAAATGGCGGCCTCCAGGACAGCTTACACCAATGAGTACTCCCCAGTACCTCTGCCACCAGTGTCCTTATCCCAACAGTGAGCCACAGCCACCTCCTACCTCTCTAGGACACTCTCCAAGATCAGCAGGTAGGTCTTTCCCAGGCTCTTATGAAGTCACTGCTTTTTCCACTGGGTCCCAGTGCACATGAAATCTTGTGTGCGCCCTCCAAGAGTGACATTTCTGTTTCCCCCAGTTCTGTGGAGTTTCTGCGATCAAGCCCCTCTGACCTTCAAAGCCAAATGCTCTGGGGGCTCCTCCTCCCAATTCCAGATCCCCATAGTAGGGAGCCTGACCTGGGGCTCAGAACTCTCACTCCTGTGGGAGAACCTCTGTGATATGATTATTTTACAGTTTGGGGGTCGCCCACCTGGTGGGTATGGGATTTGATTATATCGCGAATGGAACCCTCCTACCGTCTCATTGTGGCTTCTTTTTTGTCTTTGGAAGTAGATTATCTTTTTGGTAGGTTCCAGTCATTTTTTGTCAATGGTCGTTCAGCTGTTAGTTTTGATTTTGGTGTTTTCGTGAGGTGGGTGAGCTCAGGTTCTTCTACTCTGCCATCTTTCTGGGGATCTCTCTGAGGGTTCTGTCAAAATGTAGATTCTAAATCTGTAGGTCTGCAGTAGGACCTGAGAGTCTGTGTTTCTTCCAGGCTCCCAGAAGAGGTAGCTAATATTGATCTGTGTGCTTTGAGCAGCAAGACTGTAGTGAGGATAACACCAAGCTTCTGAAAGGAATTCGTCTTAAATGATAATATGTTACTGGTTTGTTCTTAAAGGATATAAGACACAGATGAACACCCATGTGGAACAGATGTGTAGGGCAGGGCTTGGGGAAAGCGTGCAGAGCTTCCATGACCTCTCTGGGCACCCCTGCTTGTTCCCCTCCCTAGATGCTCCCCCCCTTGTTTCTGTAATTTGCAGTTCTCTGAAAAGAACAGCATTAGGATTTGGAACCTGAAGAGCCCTAAGACCTAACTGTGCATGTTTGTGGACACGTGTGCAGGTGCAATGCTAAGTTACAAGCATCTTTATTTCACAGCTGTACTAACATACTAACGGTCTCACCTATTTGTGAGAATAAGACATTCGCATGCCTCTAAAATGTATGGTGCTTTTTCTAAAATACTCGATTTGGACACTACAATTTTAATCAAGTTATGTCTAAGTTGCAGTGCACCTGTCTGAATTGTTTTACACCCGTGGGTAAAGTGTATCATGTTTTGGGACTAGAAAGCATGGAGATATGAGGAGGTATTTCTCTTATCCCAGAAGCATCTGTTAGATACCTGCCCTCTCCTTTGGGTGGATATCTCTACCTCTTCTCTCTTCTCCATCCCTGTTCCTTGCGAAGTGAAAATTAACACTTCAGTAACAGAGGCACAACACAATACCCAAGGAGATTGGACTGCAGCTCTGAAATCATTGATTGTTGGGCTCAAATGGGGCAGGTCTGCAGCTTCAAAGGGCCTTTCTTTTATACTCAAGGGAGAGAAGGTTAAGAAATAGTGGAAAAGTAGCAGAAATGTTTCACATTAATAAATCTGTTTTTAAAAAAAATAAACAGAAAAAAACCCACTACTTCCCATGACTACAGATTATAAGATATTACTGAAATCTCCGTTTTTTAAAAGAGTAACCCATCATGGTGGTTCTTTGCTGGATAAGGGGCCATGGTGGAAAATTCAGTCATGACTGGTCAGTCCTATCTACTGTGGGTCCCAGCAGAACTCTGAGAGTTGGCTAGTGTTGTTAACCACAGAGATCTGCATTATGTAAGACTTTTTTTCAGAGAGATTGTGATTCAGTTTCTTTTCTACAAATCATGGAGAATCATCTTTAAGGTAAGGTGAAAATCATCAGAAGAGTATGTTGACAGCAATGTCCAGAAAGTCTTTAAAATAAGTGAATAGTTGTACCTATGGTAACATTAAAAAAATCTTGGGTCAGGCTCTGTTGCAGGGTACTTCTAGAAAATTACTACTTATGATTTAGTTGGTGCATGTTAGGAAAGCAAGTTATATTTGTTAATCTAAGAAGTATGAGTAGGAAGACCATAGAGATTAGATTGTTACGTGTCTCCATGACCCTGTTTTTTGAGTGGGGTGAAGAATAGATGGGTTTTGGTGAAAGAACAAAAACTTACTACTTTTTCCTGATCGTTATGGGTCTATTTCAGAATTTTAAGGATGACAACCTAATGATAGGTTATGGACAATTAGAGCTCTTGTTCGTCTCTGATTTCTCTCCTTGATCCCAGTGAGCACTGGGTGAGGGTCACAGTCTGTGGTGTCCACTTCAAGAGGTTACAGAGGCCTCCTGCTCCCAGGGTCACTGTACTGCCTCACAACCTCACTGGCTGCCATTCATGGAACACATATGAGTGTGGCACCCCACACACAAAACTATAAATGTGTCAACGGCAAAAATCTTCATTAAGCAGAAATAAAACCTGTGGTCAATATGTATTTTTTTCTTTTAGTCTAAAGAGAATATTAACCGAGATTACATCACAAAAACTTTAAATGTATTTACAGAGTGAATAAGTTACACAGATAAACTTTGAATATGTTTCTAATGTGCAACAGGTTTACATGCACACAGCTAACACTTGACAGCATTAAGTTTAAAGAGAAAACTTAAGAATGGCCCTTTACATATATATTACAAATAAAATGACATTTCTTAAGAAACAAAGTGACAACTCATATTTTGCCGTTATGATTCTACTTCCAGCTATCCAAACGGATATTAAAATATGCATGCGTAACAGGTGGAAAGACTTGGAATTTATAATGTTGAATGTCTTTAACTTTTTTCTACAAAATGGCCAAGTTGGTTAAAATTAACACTCATTATTCTGTAGTATAAATATGCTCATAAAAGCAACCTTATAGTAAAAAGCAGCCAAGATCCTTTAAAAAAAGGTCTCTCTGGACCATTTTTGGTGCGAGGGTCCTAATCACAGACCCCTGCAAAGAGATCCAGGGCTTTCGAAACAGTAGCCTAGCAACATAAGAAAGGTACTTCATAGCAGCTCCTTTTAGATACAGTAATTGTATTCAAATTTCAGTGTACATTAAATTGTCCATTTACAATTCCCTTTTCACATATACAGGCTGTCAGCTTTTGACCGTCTTACAATTTTCAGTGGCCAGCTTCATTCTGCCTGCCCCTTCCTCAGCCCACCAAAAAAAGAAAAAAAAAAGAAAAGGAAAGAATGTACAAGTTTTAGAATAAAAAATATTTTTAGCGAAGAAAACATTGCACTTTTGCCAATCTAAAATTGTTTCTAGAAAGGAAGGTACTGTTCAGAGTAGTCGGCTTTGGTATGCAATGGAAGTCACATCTTCAGTAGTGAGTTGCATTTGCTCAGTAAAATAACACATTTGTGCCACACAGCATGACGGATGGAGGTTGTTCCAGAATGTCCTATGCTACCTTGGTTCTTATAGTATTGCTACACGTGGGAAGTTCTGCCATCCTCTTTAGAAAAAGTCCTACAGGTAACAAGAGGGAGAACAGTCTGACCAAGCCTTTTGAAGGCCGAGAAGACACTGAATGACGTCACCCCAGCATGGCAGCACCCCCAGCTTGGCACCCATGGGGGACGGAAGGCTCCTGTCAGAGACTAGTGCCGGAAACACTGGAGTCTGGAAGGAAAGCGGTGAGGACCCGGTAGCTCTGGGCCCTGCGGATCATGTCCCGGATCTCCATGTTCAGCTCCATCAGCTTGGTGCAGATCTCGGTCAGGCTCTGGTTAGACCCCACCAGTGCGTAAGTACCTGTTTGTCCCAGAGTTTGATGACGGAAATAAATATTCAGTAGTGTCTGGACCTCATCGTCAGAACTGCTTCCAAAGATGTCATTGGGCCACAGACTTCTGCAGTCAGAAAAGAAGAGCAGATTAGAGGCACTATTATTCACAAGTTTGAGAGGTTATGAGTCTTTATTAGTATAAGAAAATTGCCCTTTTAATACAAAAGCTTTTGTTGAGTTATAATTCACAAACTGTACAATTCAGCTATCTAAAATATATAGTTCTGTGGCTTTTTTAGTAATATTCAGAGTTGTGCAGACATCACATGATCAGTTTTAGAATATTGAATATTATTGGTTTTGATAAAATATCTAAAGTAAAAAAATATCAGAATGGAATCCCATAATCTTAAAATATTTATTTGCTATAGCATTCTGGTTACAATGAATGTGAATATACTATCAAAATGTAGGGAGAAAAAACCCAAAGAGGCTACATTCAAATAATTAGTTTTAAAATTATGTTGGCATATACTTTAAAGTGTTTGAACATTTTAGAGATGACCAGAACCAAAACCAACACTTCAAACAATAAGTCCTGAAATCTGATGTTTCTGGCATGGTAATGGGAAGGATCTGAGAAGGGTTTATATAAACATCTCGGTGTTCCTTCCGTAGTGATTTAGTCCCCAACCATGACAAAGTAACTATTAGGCATGCATTTCCTTTAACCGTCTCTAAATAGAAATAGTAGCGTCACCTGCATTCCCGGATTTGCCGTAAAGCCTTGCCAAGTTCGTTGTTTTTCAAGCACTCGAGCATGGACTGGATGGCTGCTTCAGTGGACGTGAAGGTCGGCTCAGACCACGCCCCCTCTATGTAGAGAGGGTCGGCTGTGATGGCTGCAGTAGCCTCCTTCAGGTTTTTCTTTAGGTCACTCAGTTCCCTGGACATATTTAGCAGCTGTTAAAAACAAAATGTATTTTTACTGTATTTAGTTGCAGGCTGGATTTTACATCCCCAAAATAAAAAAAAATTTCACTGTATGAGGTCTGGTTAAGCAGAAGCTTAATATCTTGGTAAACTAAAATAGGACAGATGAAACCGTACTGCGTGGTATATGTAGGGTTATGGGGCTGAATGCGTTGTATTCAACTATATCAACAGCTGGGATGCTCTCCTTATATAAAAGATTGACTCCTTTTAAAATGTTATCTATTTAAGCAGAAGGGCATACGTAGAAGTAAAATGCACAAGAGAACAGGCTCGGTAGTTGGATAAAGCTGGGTTTATTAGATGCCAGTTCTGCATTCTTGACTACTGCATAGTCAAGTAAACAAACTTTTGCATGCCTTAGTTTTATCATCTGTGAGATGGAAGATATTACCCACCTCTCAGGTTATTTTAAAGATTAAACAGCTTGGCACAAAAGTGCCCAATAAATTTAATTATGAACACAGATGCTGAATAAACTTTTCTCCCTACTCCTATGCCACGGGAAAGATGAAAGACATAATTTTAAGAGGGAGGAGGAAAAATCTCAATGTAATGTTAGTATTCATGTTACAAGTAAGAGATATTTTCCCTCAGAATTACTGGAACCAAAAGATTCTGAGTTGTTAAAAAGTAAATCATAAAGACAACCTATGTCACTTCTTAGTGCCTCCAAAGTGTACAGTGGAAGACAGCTCTTTTGCAGTTTGACCTCAAGAGCATTTAAAAGAAACTGAGATGAATTTAAACGTTTTTTGTTTCCCTTTGTCATGTAAGCTGAGGATGCCCAGTTTCTTTGAAAGGTTGACTTACCCAGCATCTTTACCTGTTTTCATTCCCAGCCTGCTCACTGTACAAGGTATAGAACTGAAGCCCTCAAGGACTGTCTTCACACAGATGCCGATTAAATACAACTCTGTACTCCAGCCCCACGTTCAAAATTCAAGGAGGTAATCCTTTTACATAAGTTGTTAGAGTGTCTTAGACATATAGTTTTTTTTTTTTTTTGCGGTATGCGGGCCTCTCACCGTTGTGGCCTCTCCCGCCGCAGAGCACAGGCTCCGGATGCGCGGGCTCAGCGGCCATGGCTCACGGGCACAGCCGCTCTGCGGCATGTGGGATCTTCCCGGACCAGGGCACGAACCCGAGTCCCCTGCATCGGCAAGTGGACTCTCAACCACTGCGCCACCAGGGAAGCCCAGACATATAGTTTTTAAGTGTGAAAGTGAATTTCCTATTTTAAATCTAGGTAAGTTTTTTTTTTTTTTTTTTTTTTTGGTGGTACGCAGGCCTCTCACTGTTGTGATCTCTCCCGTTGCAGAGCACAGGCTATGGACGTGCAGGCTCAGCGGCCATTGCTCACGGGCCCAGCTGCTCTGCGGCATGTGGGATCTTCCTGGACTGGGGCACGAACCCATGTCCCCTGCACCGGCAGGCAGACTCTCAACCACTGCGCCACCAGGGAAGCCCTAGGTAAGTTTTAAATTATGTGTGTGTAAAGTATTTAAAACTTACCTAGATTTAAAATAATTAAGGAAAAATTCACTTTAAATTTATTAGATTTAAAATAATTATATACACACACACAGTATGAAACATGTAATTTACTACTCTTAAGTGAAACGTGAATTACTTTTTTAATATGGAAAATGACATGTGAATTGCATGTGCATTGTCCTCTTTTTGGAGCAGAGAATGGACTCTGAGGGTTTGGTTCCTACTTTCCAGAAGAGTAAAGCTTATCTTGACAATGGGGCAAATCCCAGTCATCAACTGTCTTTTCTTTTATCTGATAATTTGTGATTCTGTGGAGGAAAACTCATTTGTGAAGAGCTCTTCATAAACAAAGATGTCTGACTCCTGTCTCCCTTGAAATTGGGATCTGTGAAAGGACAGTTGACCCTTGAGCAACTCGGGGTTAGAGGCACGGTCTAACTTCTGGTTCCACCCCCCCCCGCCCCCCGCCCCTAGAACTTAACTACTAACAGCCCCCTGTTGACCGGAAGCCTTACTGATAACACACAGTCCATTAATACATATTTTGTATGTTATATGTAAGTCTACATATATTTTATGTAGTCACGACATATCTATTTCTAGGTATGTTTGCGAGATTTTTCAAATTTCCAATATATTTATTGAAAAAATCCACATAGGTAAGTGGACTCACAGTTCAAACTCATGTTGTTCAAGGGTGAACTGTATATTTAAAAACTATAGTCACTTTTCCTTTTTTCCACACTGAGTAATAATTATGGTTAAATGGCTGTCATTCTGTCTCCTCCTCCCCTACCCCCAACTCAGACATTAGGTTTCTAGGCTCCATCCTCACTCCGCTGCTTGCAATGGGATTGTTTCATGGACTCATGACTGTTCCCTGACAGCACATCTGCACCTTTAGCAGCCTATCCTTGTATTTAACTACATGCAAGATGGGATCTAGCAGGCAGAGTCGGTCACTGACGAGCAGGCAGGAGCTGTGGATGTACAATTGTGTCAGGCCTCCTCCGACATCCCTGTCTTAGCTGTGGCACTGTGGTTACATAGTTCATCTGAGAGGGGACCTGAGCATCGTCCCCCACTCCTCCCCCCACAACCCCATCAGTTTCAGTGACCTTTTGTCCTAAAATATCTCCCACGTTTCCTCCCTCTCCTTACCTAGCACTTCTGTCCTAGTTCAAACTCTCACCTCTCATCTGAGCTATTTCAGCGGCCTCATAACTGACTGGTCTGTCTGTCTCCAGTCTAGTTGTCACCAAATCCACCCTCCACATCCCTGCCCTGAAGATCTAACTAAAATACTCACAGGTGAAGAGTCTTGCGTGATCTCACCTTACTTATCTCTTCCGCCTTGGTCCATCGTTCCTTTTGGTTTGCATTTTATAGTCTAGCAATCCTCAGTTGCCTGTACTTGTATTCCTATCTCTTTCTCACTACCATGTTTATGCCCACGCTGTTGTTTCTTACTGGAACATTCCTCCTTACCCCCCACTTCATCTCTCTAATTCTAACTCATCCTTTAAGAATCAGGTGTGATCTCCTCCAGAAAGTTTCCTCTTTCAACCTCCTTGTCTCCAGCTGAACTAGGCACTCACCCTCTGAGCTTCCACAATATCCAGTGTACACCACCATTATTTCATCTACTACACTGCAGTAGTATTTTTTCAAGTCTAGGAAAAATTTGGCTCACTCAGAAGCTGTATGCTCAAGTTACTTTACCTTTTACATTAAAAGTATTAATGCATCCGGATGCTAAGCAGAGCAGGGAAGCTGAAGAGAGTCAAACATCATGCAGTTATTTCCTTCTTACCTCAATGTAGGATCAAGTATGAACAGCTAGAGGTCAGAAAAACCGTAACACAAGGAACTTTTTCAAATAAGGATCCCCAGACACAGGACCAGGGGGAGGCAAGTGAGGCCCTCGGCACAGCATTCAGGGAGGGGCTCACCTTGAAGGTCGTCCTTGTATTTTGTGTCCAGGTATGTCACTTGCCTCACCCTAGTCCTGGCACTGCCACATGAGCATGGAAATAAATATAAGACACTGGTATTTAAGACTTGTGCTTGAGTGAAAGGATTATGTGGGAATAAAATCACTTGGACATTTATAAACTGGCAGGAGGGAGAACAAAAGGAAAGCAGTGATACTCATGGCAGGACCTGGGGTCGGGAGTGGGCAGGCTCACCTCTGGCATGGAGCTGACTTCGTGCACCTGGCCGATGAGCTTACAGTACGACTGAAAAAGCAGCAGCAGCTGGAAGTGTAGCTTATACAACCTCTGACACAGTTCCAGTTGCTAAAGAGAGAATTTGCATGGGAAGAAAGAGTTATTAAGGATCATTCTTGTATAGTAAGTGAAATCTTAGTGGAGACTAATGCACCATTTTTTTTTTAAATCAAGGAACCATAACTAGTTGTTACCATTCTAAATAAAACAGAACAATAAATCCAATCAATGACTATCAGTGAGAAATTCACTGTGTAATATAGAATAAAACAGCTCCTGGAGGATGACTAATTAGAAAGTAGTAGTGGCTAGCTATAAAGGGACTTAGTGAACCGCCAAATTTCCATTATATTCGCCAATTAAATTACAGGTTTAATATCTACAAATTATAACTGCAGTCTTAATTTTTATAAGCTATACATCTTTGAACACAATTTCTTTTTATTAAAAGTATATTTGAAAGGCACAGCATTAAGTGGTTCTAGGTGTTAAATTTATAAATTCAGCAGACACTTGGGAGATTATTCCTTGTGACAACTCTGGCTGCCATTTAGGGTGTAGGCACTCATCCTAAAGTCTGTGTAAACACAAGAGTCACGTGACTGTCTAAGGTGCTGCATCAGGTTTAATGATGATGCTTCTACTCAGTGCGCAACAAATTTGTTGAATTAAAGAGATATAAAAAGGGCCCAAAATGCTTACAAAAAGGAGAAATCATGAAAGCATGCAAAACTTTCTGTGGAAAGAACGTTAAAAAATATGCATACAAAATGGCCCTGGAGCTCTATAGACACCTCTGGAATTGAAAATGTTTTCATTATACAGCTTACATGTACTGTAAGGGAAGAATAAACCATGAGTAATTCCAACACCAATGATCATAGTACTCTTTGAGCTGTATCTGCTCAATGGCCTCTAAACTTTGCCTGTTTTATCCCAAGAAAGGGCTAGCTCCTAGGTAGCAGATGGGATTCTGCTAGAGGAAAAGGACAGCCTTCACTAGATAGAATTTAATGGCTCAGCAGTCACCACTGAAAGTGGGTGAGATATGTGGCTTAAACCAAACACTTCACTGTTCAGTTTTCAAATGTGGTTAAGTAAGGATAAATAGGGCCTTTCTTTCACTAATGGACTATAAAGAACTCAGTAAGAATTGAGAGCCACTGAAGTGACTTAAAATTGTTCCCCCCAAATCAGTTTAAGGAGAGAAATGACAAGAATTTAAATTTAGGTTTTTAGGAAGCATATTCCATTAATAGTATTATTAACATACTCTTGACCCTAATTTTAAAAGTGACTAAAGTTCATGCTAAGACCATGCTGGATGGAGTTTTCTTTCTCCTCTCTCCCTGGCCCTTAGGGGGAAAAAGCAATTCTACTTAGATTTATTTGATCTCTCAATGCTGGTAACCAGCCTAAGTGTAAAGAAGTAGCTACACTCGTTTGCTAACCCAAACTAGATGTTTGGTTGTTTGAGTAACACATTTTATGATAATTGAAACTTGCCTTTGTGGAAACCTTTTCAAAATCTGGTATAAAAGACAACTGCCAGAGACTCTCAGACAAATAAAGTATTGTTTAAAAACAAAATGTTACCTTTCACAATTTAGGGTGAAACCTAGCTATGAAAACTCTGACTTTTCTAAGTGTCAGATAATGGTAGTTATTTCTAAAAATATTCTAGTGATAACATGAGAGTTCATAGCAACATAGGTTTCTACTTTGGGAGGAAAGCAGCCCAGAATGCTAATAAACTACATGTCTCAGTCTACCAAATAAAAGAAAATGAAACAAAAAAGGGAAAACATGCTAAGAGATATAATAGTAACAGTAAAAATAAGATTGTTATGGGTCCATGCCTAAATGGACAAAGAGTAGGAAAGAAAGTTAACTTACTGCAAGAGATTCCATTTGCTACACAGCAAGCATGGCACAGGAAACAAAGGAAAGGAAAGAAAGTACAGGGTCAGTGTAATGCATGCAACAGAAAGCACGGCCCTCTTCTAAGAGCAGAACCGTCAGCCGTCAGCCGTCAGCCATATTAGCATCGCTTGCCCCAACGTGATAAATGGTTGCAAATGTTGTACCCATTCAACATGCACAGCAGTCCAGTTAAAAACAAGCTCTAATGGGAAACATGTCATTGAAAAAACATAATTTGTGATCTTTTAGATTCTCTGGTTAGTTAATTTAGACTTTGTCAGTCTTGGAGACCATAAGTGAAAACTTATATTGCTTGAAGATTTTAGTGTTTAAATGTGAATAGTAACATAGTAAACATAGTAAAACTGTGAGGAGACCAACTGATTAATCTGAAAGAACTACAGCCCCAAACAAATTACACTATTGCTAGGTTAAGGCAGAGTCTTTAATATGTTTGGCTTCATATCTACTACGCTATGACTATCCAATTAGCATAGAATATAATTAACAATCTAAGTGGCATTTTCTTTAGAGTCAGGTTGCCTTCCACGTTGAGAATATTTTACAGGACTGCTAGATATTGTTATTTCAAAGGACTGAACATTGTCTTTATACTCCCAAACAAGTGTGAGATACGACAATTAATCTTGCATTTTAGTTTTTATAATTTTTTCCCCAGTAGACAATTTCTAAAAGTAATCTAGAACTAATGTTAGTCTAGAATATTATAAATTTGTAACTGGGCCATGTTACAGATTACACAACCCGAGGTATTTACTATTTTCAAGAAAACTTTAACTGTGCTAGAAGTTTTTATAACCAAACCTTATGCACTGAAAAACAATGTCACACAAGAAAGGAGTACAGGGCCAGAGTTTTAAGTCTACATATACAGAGTTGCCACTGTGAAGACTTTTTAGAAAACGTCAAATCTGATTGAAACGTTTAGTATGCACCTTAGTACATAACTGCTTCTGCCATGGAATTTACTTTTCAGAAGCATGGAATGAAGCAAGTGCTGAGTAAATTACATGGTCTTATGTGAAGAAAACGGCTATCTTTTTCACTGTTTTCCAAAAGAATGTTGTAATCCCAGGTCATCAAGTCAGTTAAAGAAAAATCTTCTCTGTTCAGTGAAGGCAAATGAGGCTTTTTGACTTGAGCCTGGTACTGAGGAATTTCATTGTCAACGAATTCCTTCCACTCCACGCTCAGGGCACACACTTGTGTTTCTTGGGAGATGGACAGCTTGATGAACACCAGTTCTCAGTGTCCTTCTTACACTCTCCTTTCTAGGTAGGCTAGTCCAAGCTGCATTGATATTTATTACCCCAGAATCTTTTCATAGGCCACAGGCTTGGATGTAGTTTGCATTTAGAGTTCCAAAAAGATAGTGAAAAAAGCCTTTCAAGGAAAATGTTAAAACTCCCCCCCGCCAAATATTTTCCGATATCCAGGTTTTAAAAATAATCCCTTTAGAAGTCTTTATAGATATATCTATGTTTTGGTGATTCAAGATTCTTTTGAAAATGTGGGAATCTGTTTTATTTGGTCACAAGGATTTTCTTCAAGCCCAGTTCCTGTACTCCTGATATGACTTGATTTATATATAAATTGGATTTAGAGGTATGTTTTCTGAAAATGAGAAAAAAAATGTCAAGAAGTCAAGATGTTAAGAATTGATCATAGACAAGGTAGCTTAAAAGCCTAGAATCATCTAGTTCTTATTCATTAACAGTATCATAGGAGGAGCTTCAAGATGGTGGAAGAGTAAGACGCGGAGATCACCTTCCTCCCCACAAATACATCAGAAATACATCTACACGTGGGACAGCTCCTACAGAACACCTACTGAACGCTGGCAGAAGACCTCAGACCTCCCAAAAGGCGAGAAACCCCCCACATACCTGGGTAGGGCAAAAGATAAAAGAATAAACAGAGACAAAAGAATAGGGATGGGACCCGCACCAGTGGGAGGGAGCTGTGAAGGAGGAAAGCTTTCCACACACTAGGAGCCCCTTCGCGGGCGGAGACTGCGGGTGGCGGAGGGGGGAAGCTTCGGAGCCGCGGAGGAGAGCGCAGCAACAGGGGTGCGGGGGGCAAAGCGGAGAGATTCCTGGACGGAGGATCGGTGCCGACCGGCACTCACCAGCGCTCACCAGGCCAAGAGGCTCGTCTGCTCATCCGCCGGGGCGGGCGGGGCTGGGAGCTGAGGCTCGGGCTTCGGAGGTCAGATCCCAGGGAGAGGACTGGGGTTGGCTGTGTGAACACAGCCTGAAGGGGGCTAGTGCACCACGGCTAGCCGGGAGGGAGTCCGGGAAAAGTCTGGAACTGCCTAAGAGGCAAGAGACCATTGTTTCTGGTGCCTGAGGAGAGGGGATTCAGAGCGCCGCTTAAAGGAGCTCCAGAAACGGGCATGAGCCGCGGCTATCAGCGTGGACCCCAGAGACAGGCATGAGACGCTAAGGCTGCTGCTGCTGCCACCAAGAAGCCTGTGTGCGAACACAGGTCACTCTCCACACCTCCCTTCCGGGGAGCCTGTGCAGCCTGCCACTGCCAGGGTCCCAGGATCCAGGGAGAACTTCCCCGGGAAAACACACACTGGCCTCTGTCGCTGCAGGCTCGCCCCGCATCCATACCCCTCCCTCCCCCGGGGCTTAATGAGCCAGAGCCCCCGAATCAGCTGCTCCTTTAACCCCATCCTGTCTGAGCGAAGAACAGACGCCCCCAGGCGACCTACACGCAGAGGCGGGGCCAAATCCAAAACTGAACCCCTGGAGCTGTGCGAACAAAGAAGAGAAAGGGAAATCTCTCCCAGCAGCCTCAGGAGCAGCGGATTAAATCTCCACAATCAACTTGATGTACCCTGCATCTTTGGAATACCTGAATACACAAAGACAAAGAATCAACCCAAATTGAGGAGGTGGACTTTGGAAACAACGATATATATATATTTTTACCTTTTTCTCTTTTCATGAGTGTGTATGTGTACGCTTCTGTGTGTGATTTTGTCTGTATAGCTTTGCTTTTACCATTTCTCCTAGGGTTCTGCCTGTCCATATTATTTTCTTTATTACTTAAAAAATATTTTTTCTTAACTATTTTTTATTTTAATAACTTTATTTTATTTTATTTTGCATTCTTTCTTTCTTTTTCTCCCTTTTATTCTGAGCCATGTGGATGACAGGCTCTTGGTGCTCCAGCCAGGTGTCAGGGCTGTGCCACTGAGGCGTGAGAGCCAAGTTCTGGACACTGGTCCACAAGAGACCTCCAAGCTCCATGTAATATCAAACAGAAAAAATCTCCCAGAGATCTCCATCTCAACGCCAAGACCCAGCTCCACCCAATGACCAGCAAGCTACAGTGCTGGACACACTATGCCAAACAACTAGCAAGACAGGAACACACCCCACCCATTAGCAGAGAGGCTGCCTAAAATCATAATAAGGCCACAGACACACCAAAACACACCACCAGACGTGGACCTGCCCACCAGAAAGACAAGATCCAGCCTCATCCACCAGAACACAGGCGCTAGTCCCCTCCACCAGGAAGCCTACACAACCCACTGAACCCACCTTAGCCACTGGGGACAGACATCAAAAACAATGGGAACTACGAACCTGCAGCCTGTGAAAAGGAGACCCCAAACACAGTAAGTTAAGCAAAATGTGAAGACAGAGAAACACACAGCAGATGAAGGAACTAGGCAGAAGCCCACCAGACCTAACAAATGAAGAGGAAATAGGCAGTCTACCTGAAAAAGAATTCAGAGCAATGATAGTAAAGATGATCCAAAATCTTGGAAACAGAATGGAGAAAATACAAGAAACGTTTAACAAGGACCTAGAAGAACTAAAGAGCAAACAAACAGTGATGAACAACACAATAAATGAAATTAAAAATTCTCTAGAAGGGATCAATAGCAGAATAACTGAGGCAGAAGAACGGATAAGGGACCTGGAAGATAAAACAGTGGAAATAACTACTGCAGAGCAGAATAAAGAAAAAAGAATGAAAAGAATTGAGGACAGTCTCAGGGACCTTTGGGACAACATTAAACACACCAACATTTGAATTATAGGGGTCCCAGAAGAAGAAGAGAAAAAGAAATGGACTGAGAAAATATTTGAAGAGATTATAGTTGAAAACTTCCCTAATATGGGAAAGGAAAGAGTTAATCAAGTCCAGGAAGCACAGAGAGTCCCATACAGGATAAATCCAAGGAGAAACACACCAAGACACATATTAATCAACCTATCAAAAAATAAATACAAAGAAAAAATATTAAAAGCAGCAAGGAAAAAACAACAAATAACATACAAGGGAATCCCCATAAGGTTAACAGCTTATCTTTCAGCAGAAACTCTGCAAGCCAGAAGGAACTAGCAGGACATATTTAAAGTGATGAAGGAGAAAAACCTACAACCAAGATCACTCTACCCAGCAAGGATCTCATTCAGATTTGATGGAGAAATTAAAACCTTTACAGACAAGCAAAAGCTAAGAGAATTTATCACCACCAAACCAGCTTTACAACAAATGCTAAAGGAACTTTTCTAGGCAGGAAACACAAGAGAAGGAAAAGACCTACAATAATAAACCCAAAACACTTAAGAAAATGGTAATAGGAACATACATATCGATAATTACCTTAAATGTAAATGGAATAGATGCTCCCACCAAAAGACACAGACTGGCTGAATGGATACAAAAACAAGACCCATCTATGTGCTGTCTACAAGAGACCCACTTCAGACCTAGGGACACATACAGACTGAAAGTGAGGGGATGGAAAAAGATATTCCATGCAAATGGAAATCGAAAGAAAGCTGGAGTAGCAATTCTCATATCAGACAAAATAGACTTTAAAATAAAGCCTATTACAAGAGACAAAGGACACTACATATTGATCAAGGGATCGATCCAAGAAGAAGATATAACAATTGTAAATATTTATGCACCCAGAATAGGAGCACCTCAATAGATAA